GTTGTGCAGGCTCTGTACGCACCATGTGCTTAAGCCCCGATTGGCTCAAATATAGGTAAGGAGGGTGGGTGGGCGGGCCCTACGGAGCACCGTACTGGAATGGTACCTGGTACTCCCAGCAGGCACCGGTACACCTGTACCGGGGCACACCATTCGTATCCCACCACTGACATGGCTGAATTGGTTCCCCGCTTCTTCCGAACTAGTTCCCCAGTAGCCATCTTTTTTTTAGTTCTGTGCATGCACAGAACAATTTCCATTGAACTGCGCATGCATGCACAAAGCGTGCACATGAGCGAGCCAGTAGTAATGCCAGCTGAAACTCACCCCTGATGCAGACCAAGGGTTCATGGCTACCACGGATCTTGCCAACTTACTGAGGGGGCGACATGCATAAGGGGTGATATATTGGAGTAGATATGATATGATTTGAAATGAGGGACATTGACTCCGCCCCTTGTCATGGACATATCTTTCTCTGGTTGCTATGGAGTTTCACTGTATATCCCCCTCCCCCCCATTTTCTTCCTCTGGAGAAACTTAAATTAGTCCAGATGATTTTCAAAGGACAACTGGGGAGTTTCCCATGGGCAGGATGGATCATTTGATTGAAACCTTGATTTTCCACTTTAAATAAGGTGGTTATGGCACTTGATCAGATTACACTGGAATGGCCATCCCTCTTACAGTTCCTTAGTAGACCAAGGTGTTCCTGGAGATGAAGTAGCAAAGGAAAACCCATCTTAAGTCTAAGAGTGGTTATATAAGATCTTATATTCAAGCTTACACTATGGGGAAAAAAAGATCATACTGTATTTTGCTGCCCTTATTGTGTCCATTGAATGCCAGCGAGGAGCCCTTTTTTTGTTCCCCTAAAAAGCAACCTTCAGGTATGGGTAAAATACAAATAGATTAAATGCGTAAATATGCTCCACTTGGAATCATCAGCACATTGCGAGTGACTGCCAGACTGCTCCCCCCCACAAACACAATTGGAGGGGTTTTTTTTCCTGAAATATTTTTCTCCCTTGATCTCAGCCAAATCCAGCTCATTTTTAAACAGAGATTCTGTTTAGTTTTTGCAGGGTTATTCTGATAGGTAGAGATTCAAGTCCCTTTATGTGATTTCATCTCAGTATTCCATAATTCTGTAGGTTGCAGGAAAGCACAGAACACATTATCGAAATCCAGCTATATGAGAAATCTCAATTTTATTTTATTTCTAAAACTGCTTTCTTGAGTTTTGAGAAATGCTATCAGCTGGAAGTGGAAGAAAATGCCAGCTTTGCTATTATAGATATTTAGCAAATATGGTACAGGTAGTCCTTGAAATGTTTGATATGTATTTAGGAGGTGGGGTGGAACATCTGTGTATAGTGTTATGTACAAAAATGCAAAACTAAACCTGTTTTGCAAAGTTAATGATGTTTTTTATATCCATTGCTCTCTTCTGTTGCTGGGTTCCACTCCTCTCCATCTTCTTCAGATCGGCTTTGCAGACTATAATCTGCTCGACATTCTACATGTTCATTTGGTCCTGGCATCCAATTGCCTGGCTTCCTTGCCTTTGCTGGCTGGCTACGTGCAACGCCTTAATGACCGGCCACTTCTCAAGAATTTCCTGGAATCAGATGCCCGTAAGAAACGCTTCATCAATGGGAATGGCAAGCAGTGAAGCCATTTACTTTCCTAGGATGCAAGTTTGTAGTTTTGTACCTTTGAGATCTAATAAAGCTACCATAGTTTTTAAAAAGGCCTCTGTCACTCTGCTGGGGAAGGAAAATCATGAAAACCATGGAGATGGAAGCCTTTTACAGTCCAGAAAAGATGGTTTTGTATTTGGTTTTTAGTTGTACTAAAGTAGCAATAATGCTAAAGCATTTATTAATGGCAATGGTGGATACACTTTTAAAAAAGAATAAATGCAGTTCTGCAAAGACTGATTCATGGTGTGGCTATGACACAGGAGTAAGAATGTATCATTCACCCATGCTCTTTTCCCTTTGGAATCCAGTCGTTGTATTTTTTTACGTCAACAGTTCCTCATAAATCAGTCAACCCCCCCCCCCCCCCTTTAAATATATTCTGGTCTCTCTTACTAGCAGCNGGGGGGGGGTGGAATGTAACTTTTTGTGTAAACTATAAATACATTCTGAACAGCACTGAAACTGTTCAGATAACAAACAAAGGAACATTGGAAAACCTTTTTCTCTCTGTTTCCTCATCCATTTTTATTCAAGATCTCTCAAGAATTCTTCTTTTGCAGTTTGATCTAGATTGGCTTTAGATTTCTGTAGTATTCTGGGGAACGGGAAAAAAATAGCACCCACCCATGAATTTTTTACCATTTTTCCATGGGGGAAAAAGTTTCACTTTCATCAAACTGAATATAGATAAAAAACAAATGCAGATTTTTTTTTTTAAATTTACAGAGCATTTATTGAGATGTATGCCTCCCCCACAACTAAATAGGATTTGCTGCATAATCAGTTGTATTAACATTCCATATCCATATAGAAGGAATGTTCTCTGGGTACCACCTGAGGGGCGGAAAGGCAGATCATATGGATTCTTCATCGTTGGAGCTCTCAATATTTATTTTAAAATGCTTTTATTATAAAAATGGGGAAAATATACAATCAGATAGGAAGAAATTAAAAACTCAAAAAAATTAATAGAAAGAGAATATATATTTGTTGCTCAGGGTTAAACTGAAGGGTCCTTGATGCTCTCTGAGGTTGCTTGTTTTATTGCAGATGTTTCATTATCTGCTGCTGATGTCGTGGATGATGTTACCTAGTTTGGGCAATGAAACGTTTGCAAGAAAACAAGCAACCTCAGCGAGCACCAAAGACCCCCTCAAAGAAAAATATTTTTGAATTAAATGTATACAAACAAAAAGTTCAAATTACAAATTACATCTTAACCACGTGGAGATATACTGTTTAGATTTTGTACAATGCTGATAAAAGTCCAATTCCTATTCAGAAAGTGAATACATGTCTTCCATGCAGGTCTCTTAATAAGTTGTAATTGTTTAGTAGTTCACATATTTAAATACTTTTTCTACCCACATTCAAACAAGCCCAAAACATACAAGTTCAGGTCCAAAATATTATGTTTCCAATTTAGGTTAAACCCAAATTTTACTACACATTCTCTGGGATACTCAAATACACATGAAAATAATATCACAGAGTATTAGTTTGATATTCATTAAAATATCAATCAAAACATTGTTAAAATAAAATATCCCATTGCTTCCTTGTTTGCTTTTATTAACAGCTTTTGTTCACCTGCTCAGTCTAACCAACTCTGGGTGTAATGTACATGAGCAAGCCAATACAAAATATATCAACAAAAATTAGCTTTTAAAAAACACAATAAATTAATGACAGCAAAACAGGTAAGCATTCTAATTACTCTTGAGGCCCATGGGATATAATTCATGTTCTGTGTTGGCAAAGCAATTGGGGAGAAGATGGAAGAATAAGCCTGAGGGAAATGGCTGCTGTTATTCAGTAGTTATTGATCTTGCTATTCGGCTAAGAATCAGGTGTAGTTCACCATTATCTGAAGGAGGGTTTTTTTTGTCTCTAGATTGTTTTGAGCATACAGCACCACCAAATTTATTGTTTGGTTTAATGATTTTCTCAGATTTATTTACTGCACAATAGATAGGGTTTCCTACCTATCTATCACCAGGAGTAACTTGGCTCCTGTGACTTCATGGGCATATTTTTCTTTTGAAAGCAAAAGATAGGTGCTTTGCTACTGCCACTTCTGGGATGGTTTTTGCCATACCAACCCTGGTTTTCCTCAGAGGACTCCCATCCGAATATTAACCAAGTGTGACACTTTTGCTGAAGTCACCTTAGCTATGATTTGGAAGATGGTGTATTTTAATCTGACAGAGTTGGCTGCCATCAGAGGTTGCAGTTAATGTGTGATCAATCCCTTAACTTTTGTTGTTTGCTTGCTTAGCTGGTATTAAGCTCCATTTGGGCAAGTATAAAGAGGCTGAGCTATATAAGCCGTCTATGGCTGCTTCTCCTTTTGGAAAGTAGTTATGTCTTGATTCTGAACATTTATCCATCAGGAGGAAGTCTTGGACTTAGAATGAATGCCTCATTTTATGACAATACAAAAAATGTACTTATTCAAATCCCAATAGCAACATTTTCTTTCTTTCTTCACTCAATCATACTTTACATATCAATCTGTTCCTCTCATTTTTCTGTTGGAACACTACTATTTTAAAGAAATATCTGGAGTTCCATGGATGAAGAAGCAGCCTGGGCAATGGATAGTGCACTACATGAAACACTCACAGGAAAAAGTGTAAAACACAACATTTTACATAAAACATTACCAATAGAAGGAATTATTTGTTCCTCAGAATTGAACTGTGGGGATCTTCATACTCCAAGTTTGGTTGTTGTCTTGGATTTCATTACCAAACTATGTAACATTATCAGTTCTAGTAGGGAGTGGGGTTTACTCTCATTCTATATACTAGTGGATTGCCCTGTTAGTGTTGGTAGGAGTGACCTTGGTGGTTCCTTGATTGGGCTGTTTTTTACAGTTAGCTTGTTGGCAGTGTAAAAACATTGCTGTATGACCTTCCCCTGAATCTACTGAGGTTGAATTCAAGAGGCCATAGAAAGCTGTAATATCCTTCACAGACAACTTCCTCCCATTCCAATATTTGACTCAAGCATGCAACTGCTTCATTTTCTGATAAATCTCTCTCATTATTATCTGCATCAATTTTGTTCATTTTAAACTTCTTCCTTACCATTTCTTTGGCACATGTCATCTTCATTGCAGTGACAATGAGGTTTTCTTGAAAATACTGCTTCTCATCACAGAACATGCAAAATTAAAATGTGGGGGCTGAGCGTGTAACTTAGCATCTTGTGAATCCAAACAATTATAGTCAGTGACCCATACTTAAAAATTATGGTTGAGTGTGCTTAATAAATATTGCCACTAGGTTTATCCATGTTTGAATTTTTTTTGTCTCAGGACGTGGAGAAGCCATACGCCTGCTGCTGGCTGATCAGGGACAGGAATGGACTGAGGATGTGGTGAATGGGGAGATTTGGAAGAAGGGAGATCTGAAGAAATTATGTGTGAGTAAAGCGGGCTTTGAGATACATTTTATGGGTTTAGAAGAGAAACCTTTTTGCAAAATGAGCTCTTGCATGCATTCCAGCTCCCAATGTTGTACTGTATTTTTTTGGAGTATAAGACGCACCGGAGTATAAGACGCACCAAGATTTTGAAGAGGCAAATTAAAAAAAAAGTTTTTACACTCTGCAGACCTCCCAAAAAACAGCCTTTTTTTGTGAAAACGGGCCAGTTTTTCGCTCATTGCTGCCTTCCCCAACCCCCAAGGAGCACTCTGGAAGCCTCCTAAAGGCTATGCACGGCCATTTTAGTGAAGGGGGCAGGGTTTCGGGAGGCCAAAAATGCTGCATTCAGTGTATAAGACACACCCAGATTTTCACCTTCTTTTTTGAGGGAAAAATGCGTTTAATACTCCGAAAAATACGGTAATTCATTAACCAGATTTCTGTCTTAGGATGCACAGCCTGTGGCTCTCCGGTTAGTTTACAAATTTCATTATCTTCGGTATTTTCAATACTAACTGGGTCTTGGAGGAGGTATTATTCAGCAATATCTTTACTTACTTGGAAATACTATGGAATGCTCCATCACTAACCACTTTTCTCTCATTTCTTTTCTTTTCCAGGCCTTTGGCCAGGTGCCGAGATTCCAGGATGGGAATTTTATATTGCATCAGTCAAATGCTATTCTGCGCCACTTGGCTAGGAATCACGGTGAGATATATGGGCAAATCTGTGGGCATGTTGCCTTTTGGGGCTAGAGCATTTGTGTCTACATAAATGCTTATGTGTATGTAACATGCCTCTTGAGATGATCGCAATGGATTTCTACATGCTTAACTAAAAGACCAAGAAAAAAATATAATGGAATTTAATTAATAGCTAACAGAGATAGAGCCAGTTTGGTGTAGTTATTAAGGCACTGGGCTAGAAACCTGGAGACCAGGAGCTCTTGTCCTGCCTTAGATAAAAGCCAGCAGTGTCCTTGGCCCAGTCATTCCTTCTCAGCCCAAGGAAGCATGCAATGGCAAAGCATTTCTTAAATCTTGCCAAGAAAACTATAGAAATTTCTCCAGGCACTCACTAAGAATGAATACTGACTCAAAGCATAAACAAACAAAAGGGGATGATTTTATTATTCATAACAAATTTTTAAAAATATAATAAAAGGCAATTATCAGATGTGGCTAAAAATACATCAAAAATTGGAGAATAAGAGTTATGATTTGCATAAATACCGATAATAAAATAAAAACTGACTTTGGCCAAATACATCAATCAGATATATGCTTAGCAGTTGTAGATTGTCTTCCAGATGTTAGATGCATGAAGTCTCTGACTACATTCCCATACAATGCTAACCCAAATATAATTTGTTTTTGACTAAGTCTGTTTTTAATTCCACCCATTATAGATCGACTCGCTGTAGTTTATTCAGCAAACCATGATTTAGAAAAATCCTGGTCTAAACTTGGTATATCGGTGATGGTAGAAAAATGCAGTTTTAGTTATCAGTGTTGTTATGATGATCCTCTCTAACTTTAGACTTGGCCACTTTCTTTCCCTCCCCATAGGACTCTATGGTGAAGATGCAAAGGAAGCAGCACTGCTGGACATGGTGAATGATGGTGTGGAGGATCTGCGAAACAAATATGCCCGCTTAATCTACCAGAACTATGTAAGCTGGATTATAGGAGACCTTGGTTTTATTTTTAGCTGCTGTATGGAGAGCTCAGTCCCCTATTTAATGATTTCTTGGTTTCTCTGATCACAGGGTGATCAAATCATGGGATTTTCTGACAGTATCTAAGAAGAAGTAGATTTTATTGGGAAAAGCTAATTTGGGTTTCAATCTAAAAAAATGTAACAGTAAACCTGATTAATTTAGTTCAGATGAACTTTTTACCCCACTGCAGATGGTAAAGCTTTAGCCAAAGGGGTTCCAGTAAAAGTGCCAGTGATGTTAGTTCCACAGTCTCATTCGGTTCCTACTAGCCAGAAGCCATGGTTGGGATGTTTCCTATTAAAAAGCATCGCTAGCATCCAGGTTCTTTGCCTGATTGCAGTGAATTCTTTTAGGGCAGGGGTGTCAAGCTCTCAATTGTATTGAAAGCCAGGTCAGCGTTGTGGTTGTCCTCTGTGGGTGGGGGAATAGGGGGAGGAGAGGTGAGGCCGGAGAGGGGGGACGTGGCCTGGATGATCATGGTGATGTTGAGGTATATGATAATGCTGCTGCTGAGAATGGAAACTGGACTGGAGCTGCAGCTAGGTTTTCCCTTGTCAGAGCTTTTGGAAGAACCTGGGGGCAATGCACCCTTGGTGGCATATTCTGGGTCTTGGCAACAGGTTAATTATCTGTATACATACATACATACATACATACATACATACATACATACATACATACATACATACATACATACA